TATTGCTGCACATGTAGCAGTAGAATTTGTGTTGCTGCACATGTAGCAGTAGAATTGGCGTTGCTGCACATGTGGCAGTAGAATTGGTGTTGCACATGTGGCAGTAGAATTGGTGTTGCTGTACATGTAGCAGTAGAATTTGTGTTGCTGCACATGTAGCAGTAGAATTTGTGTGGCTGCACATGTAGCAGTATAATTTGTGTGGCTGCACATGTAGCAGTAGAATTTGTGTGGCTGCACATGTAGCAGTAGAATTTGTGTTGCTGCACATGTAGCAGTAGAATTTGCGTGGCTGCACATGTAGCAGTAGAATTTGTGTTGCTGCACATGTAGCAGTAGAATTTGTGTTGCTGCACATGTAGCAGTGGAATTTGTATTGCTGCACATGTAGCAGTAGAATTTGTGTTGCTGCACATGTGGCAGTAGAATTTGTGTTGCTGCACATGTGGCAGTAGAATTGGTGTTGCTGCACATGTAGCAGTAGAATTTGTGTGGCTGCACATGTAGCAGTAGAATTTGTGTTGCTGCACATGTGGCAGTAGAATTTGTGTGGCTTTATATGTACACATGTATTAGTGTTTTTATTTAGATCTATAATTAGTAAATATGCACACTCACATTGTTGTATAATTTGGGTGAATAGATTCTTGCAGAGAGTACATGAGTTACTAACTACATGTATATACATTTTAAATTTGATTTTATTGTATTCATATTTAAAAAAAAACAACATTTAAAGACCACAGTTGCATTTGTTTGGGTTTTGAGTCGAATAATGATTACAATTGATTTGAAAGCCAGTGTTTATTTACATTGAGGAATTGTTTATTTGTTTTTATAAGTTTTGTTTTGTATTCATGAGTGCATTTTTTATGAGTGCTTTTGTTCTTTAAGTTATTTTGTTTTTTGTGTACATGGGAGTTACATTGTGATGCACATGTAAATATTACCCATAATACATCATTGTGTTAAGTAAACAGCATTATATGCTTTTCTGACCAAATGTTTCCATACATGTATGGATGTTGAAACTACATTTATCATCATCATCATCATTGTGTTAAAGGGGAACCGCTCAATCCCATGGATTGCACCAAAGAATCATGGGACACTATTGTTTATGTTGTTTACAATGTTAATCTATCTTTTGTTATCCATTGTTGTTTTAATCCAGAAAGTAAATTTGTTGTGAAATTAATCTTAACTGGAAGGTGTCCCTTTAATTATTTTGAACATGACCTTTGACCTATTCTTGACTTATGGCACATTCTGCTTATACACATAGCTGTGATAAGTATACCAACAGCATTTATCGGTAATGCCAACATGAATCTCCTTTAACTTGTTCACCACCAAATTTGTCTGCGCTTTTTTTCTAATATTCTTTAGTATTTCTGAAAATGAACCCTAATTTCAGAGCCCACAGACAACATTTGAGTCAATTTTCAGCTTTTACTCAACAACTTTGGCTATTTTTGTCCCTAACTTCTGAAGGAAAATGCAGACTATAACAAGACTATTTTGTGAATTTGTGATGGAAAGAGAGAACTGGAGGTGAAAAGGTTAAAGTCACAGCAGTTTTCGATATAACCAGCATTATATTATACCAGCATTTAACTTTCCTGAATATGTCTTTCTGATTGACCAAGAGCATTTTTCATTTATGCAAGCTGTGGTTGAATAGACGGTATACCACATTTTTTTTTATGTTTACAATTAGGCCCTCATCATGAATACCGGGTAACACACAGAAGAGTTGAATCGTTCTGTTAATGGAAATCAGCAAAAAATAATATTTTGCATTACAGATGTAGTCACGGTACATAATAAATAAAAATGCAACCCTCAGGTATTTGGTGTTCAAAAAAGAAACACAAGAAAAATAACTTTTTATTATTATGCAAACGAAGCAAAAAAAAAATGGTTGCATTCTGCAGTCGCTGGCTTGTGTACCCAGAAATTCTGTTGAACCACAAAATGGAAACTGGCAAACTGTGCATGTGTTTTTTTTAAATTGCTTCATTTGAGACAATTGTACACATACCAATGTTGTCGCTAACAAGAAACTACACGAATAAACTATGCAATGCTAAAATCAAAGTATGAATTTGTGCCACTGCTCTCAATGGATCTATAATCGCTGTATGCTAGTTCCAGGGTCCATTACATTTTGTCATAATAACCATGGTTGCAAATGGATCATATATCATAATTTGTATTTTTAACATTTTATTTGACATAATTATTTCATATTTTTAAACTTCACCACATTCCAATATTTATGTGATCTTTTTATTTACTATTTTTGATAATTAGTGTGCTTACAATTGTCTTTACATTCCTAATATGGTAATCTGACCATATATAGTTGTTATGATGTCATGCAAGGTCAGGTCATTCGCATACATTATAGCCTACCTATCATAAGCAGGTGATTTACTGTGAACAGATTTAATTTCTTGAGAGACAAGTTCTTGTGAGTTGAAGTAAATCACAAAATTTTGTCGCAGTGAAATATATTGATTGTCTGACTTTCGTGAAATTTTGTATTCACGAATTGTACGATTTCTAGTAGTGAAAATGAAACCGTTTACAGTTTGGTGGAAATGAAATACAGATATTTACAATGATTTTATAAAATAAGGACATGCAACTAGCATGTTATGTAGATCTCATTTGAAGTCGCATGATTTACAAGATGGTTACAATACCCCAAGAGAAATACTAATATTGTAAAATCTGTATTAGAAGCCACGGCTTCTATTAAAATGGTACAATGTAACAGAATGGATGTGGTTTCTATTAGAGCATCTACACATATGAGAAATGATAAATTTTTCGTTCTCATTTGTTCAAAAAGAATGGGTGTGACTTCTATTAGGGATGCGGCTTTTAATACAGATTTTGCGGTAAGTGTAAAGGTCGGTGAAATAACTGGTTATTGTTCATTTCAGGCTTCAGTGTTGTGTGTGTCAGTCAAAAATATACATCAAGTTCAGATACACACGTGATGCTGGAAAACCTGAATAGATCTTAGATGCAAACGGCTGCGGAGTTCTTGTCGAGTCCAAGAGGACCACAAAACTTGGTTTGTGCTCCATTCACTCCTGTTATCACGTTCTCTGTTACCATAGTTACATAGATTCAGGTAACCATAGACATGAAGTATAGAACTTTATTCAGAGGCAAAAAACAAAGTTTGATGCTCTCTCACTCTCAAGAACATCTTAGCAGCTGTTTGCATTCAAGACGTATTGCCATTTGACATTACGAACATTTAATTGAAACTTTTTTTCATTTTCTCATGTTAACAAATAACGAGACAAGAGTATGATATTTAGCTATTTTTATGTATTGCCTGTAACATTGTGTTGTTTGATGAAATAAAATTATTTTATGCATAAATGCCGTTGTTTTTATTTTAATGCAATGAAATCTCTAGATAATACTGGTAATACAAAGTTTTAGCATGACTATCAATATACTGGAATATCAAAAGATGTAAATGTATCACAGATGTCAATAGCAAGTATAAAGCTGAAGTATCTAGGCAATCAGACATCATCCACAAAATAGTCTGTTCTATTCCACAAAAAAGTTGTGAATATTTCATTTTTTTATTAAAAACTAGAAGCAATATCACATTTTGTCCATTTGGTCTAAAATTAAGATTGAATTCAGTGAAAATTACAGAAAATGTGAACAAATTTACGTCAATTAAAGTGGGAAATAATAGGCTCAAAGGGTTAAACTATCGCTTCATTTCAGACTAGCATATACTAGTATTAATACGAGGCAGTACGGCACTCCAGGCAGTACGTGATCGCAACAACCTCTGTTACACATTGGTCAATGCAATCACTGCACTGTCTTTGTGCACACTTTGAAGTATTCTGTGATAACCTTATTATTATACACCTTTCCTCTGTAAATATTTAACAGCCAAAATTCAAATGAAAAAAAAATATGAAGTGATGGGTTTCTTATTATCATGTGCTATAGCGTTTCTACGTCCAACGTAAACAAAGAAAAGTGTTTGAATGTGATGTCGATAACATGGGTCACTTTCAATGCAAGGGAAAATTAGAATGTTGGAATGAAAAGACACATTTTGGAATGAATTCAGATCCGTATTTTTTTAAAGAAACAGTAAATTATATTGTTTAAGGTCTTAGATGTATGATAATGTAATTTATTTATAGCAACATTAGTTGTAACTATCAACCTATTTTCTCTAATTTTTAGTTTTAATAAAACATTTCCTGTCAATGCCAGTTTTTAACGGTCATCGCCAAAACATGGACACTGAAAGCATATCATGTATCTTATATACTGACATTAAAAGTATTTCAGTAAGACTTAGTCATCTTTATGTCATTATATTTGTACCCAAAAAAAATCACAGCTATTAATTGCTGAGTTAATCATATACCAGGGTAATGCTTGATTTTATTAGATGCACATTCATGTAAAGTCTGACAATCCAAAATGTGTACATTGAAGTTAAGCAAAGTCCAATCTGATTAAAATAAGATTAAGTACATTGGGACCAGTGAAAAAAAAAATTGTGTTTCTGGTCAAAGCATTGCATCATCAATAAAATAAGTGCATGTCCAAATGTACTTCAGAATATTCAACAAAAGAAAAACGAAATTCTCATGAAAAAAACAACAATCGTATTGATTTTGGAAAACTATAATTCCTCAGAACCATTTTAATATTTTCTGGACCTTAAAAGAACTGGGTTGTACATAATTTACATTAATACCAATACTGTAATTGCTCTATTAGCAGCACAGGTGTGTCTATGTTCTATTAGTAATGTATATACTTTAATACGTAAATGATAGAGATGTGTCTGTGATCAAAAATTTTGTTTTTTAATAATCCAGCCTGGATTTGCTTTTAAGCGCTTGTAAGTGACAGAGGTGCATCTATGGTCAAAATTAAAATATATATTTAAAATATAAAATTAAAATATATATTTTAATTTTCCAATATACATGTTTAGTTGTTGTGTGCTTCTAATAGAGTGAATATGATACTCAACTAAAAATATAATATATCTAGGTGAGGCATATGATGAAGACAAGTGGCATTTCTAAGAAATCAATAGAAGTACATCGTCATGGATACCATCAAAGTATTCCCGGTCTCTCATCAGATCACTGTAATAAACCGTATGACCTGCTTCTTGTTTCTTTAATGTCTCTTTCTTAAAATCTCCCGTAAAACCTTCATCAGGGTATGTCAAAAGTTCTTCTTTTGAAACAGGTTTGTTGCTATAGAAACAATAAATTTGCTGCAGAAGATGCAGCAAGGTTATCCCATTTGCGGTGTTTGGTGTAATTGTAATTGTATGCATAATATCGCAGTCATACGAGACTGGCACTTTCAGCGTTATCTCCCCGTCTATCACTATCTGGGTGTAGTCTTCAGCTGGGATAGGTACAAAGGTCTCCTTGCTAGAATCGTAGTAACGAGCACTTTCTGCTGGCTCTGATAGTCTCCATGATACTTTTTTAATCACTTCATTGTTGACAGTTGACATACTGACTCATCTGAAATAGAAAATAATAATAATAACTTTATTACATAACTACAAAATCAGAGGATACAGTATGTAATCAAACACAACAAAAAAAGAAAAAAATGTACAAGGCCTTTCCATACCGGTGAATTTAATTCATGACTTTTTGCAACAATAATGTAATGTAATGTTCGATAGATTGTAAAATCATTAATAATTGACAAGTTCATTTCAGAAATATTTAAAATTAATTAAAAGTTTAAGATTAACCTTTTAAACAAGGAGGCTATCTGCTAATATAGCTCTGCTCTTTCAGATTCACAATGTGGAAGCACTTTTATCCACGATATTGAAGATTATAATAATAGAAAACTCACGAAATATCAGAACAAAATAATAAATTTGATTGTACATCTGTTGTTTGCAGTCTGTGGATTATTTCAGAACACCTATTTATCAAGTTTCATTAATGAGTGGTACTAACTGAAACAGTTACAAATTGGTTAATTTATGCAAATTAGTTAATTAATATACACTGATTTCAAATTTAGCATTTTCACCACCAGACTTTCTCACCCAAATTTTTCTGCAATTTTTTCTTGTGTTCTTTAATATTTCTGGCAATGAACCCTAATTTTGGAGCCGACAGACAAAATTTGGGTAAATTTTCAGTTTTTACTCAAAAATTTGACTATTTTTGTCTCAAGAACAGGGCTATTTTGTGAATTTGTGATGAAAAGAGGAAACTGGTGGTGAAAATGTTGAACTAATCACACCTGTGAAAAAGCTGAAAATCATTATGGAAATTAGATAATTGTTATGCATAGATTTCAACTAAACATTAATAAGGTCTGTGCATAACCCCACAGTATCCACATTTATTTAATATCTGATTAGTAGTTTTGAAATAAAAATGCTCGATATTTTTGCTTAAAACCACTGCTGTTTTCCATTCTTTTCAAAACTCCATGGTTTCAATATTACATATATTTAATTTATGATGGTGTCTTTAATTTTCTGATTTCAAAGATTATTTTCCCAATATTTGGCAATGTTCCTTAAAAATTGATATGGAACACATTAAATTTTAATGCTGTTATACTAGTTTTCAGCCACAGTAATATTTACTCCTATATTGTGTATTACATTGCTTTCACAGTATGAATCTCAACAGCATATCCATATAAACATAGAAATTATTTAATGTTGCCGAATCTTAAACATTAATTTTTTTTGAATAGATGACGTAAATGTTAAATAGAATCACCGTATGTCAAGAAATCTATACTTAGTATATTTGCCATAAATTTTTATCAAATTCACTGCATAAACGTGAATAATGTATAAGGTACCATCAATTTATTGTCAAAAAATATAAAAGGAAACGCAGGAGAATTTGATGAATATATTATAATTGTTTTTGTTAAATAATTAATAATTGGTTTTATGAATATGGCAGAAATTTTAGTCACAATTAACTGCAATCCTGATTAAATTGCAAGTATCTACCGGTAATATACTTGTTTCTATGGCAACCATTATACACATTTATCTACTTTAATCACTACTTTGTGCTCAAGCGTAGACATGCGTAAGAGTAATATATATGCAAAGGAAGCTCCACAATTGTAAAAATAATTGGAACATGGATCAATATATACATTACATAATGCTAGACATTTCATCTAAACTGACTGGTTTGAATGACGTTTTGAGAAAACCTATTTTCAACAAAATATATTTTGGAAATTACTAGCTGGTAAAATGTCTGATATTTTTGGTTCGAGGTTGAAATTATTTTTACTGCTTAGACTGTCAATTCCAATTAAATTAATTGTAATTTATATATAAATACACACAAATGAATTCCTTAAGAATTCAAAATGTCAGAAAATTTAATACCTACCGACCTGGATAACAGAAAGAGCTGTTTTACAGAAAACAGTTGCCCCAGAATTTACAACGTAATCTAAGGTACATGTATCCAATGTAAGCAGCGCCACCTAGAGAGAAAATTGTGCAATGTACCTTGATGGCAGCTGATACAGGTATTTTGTAAATGCAGCTGCCATGAATGGCATGTGACTCGATCAATTTTCCCTTATTCATATGTAGATCATAAAAGTATTCATATGTAGATTATACACATGCATTCATATGTCAATTATAAATGGCCATACGCGACACACGCTGGGAAAGTTTTGAAGTCAGCTTCATATGCAAATCTTCATAAAATATAGATTTTAAAATTTAGTTCAGTATATGTCAAATTTGTGCCATGCATATATTGATAATAAATTTATTTGTTATTGAAACACCAGCATAATGAACCTATCAAAACGTGTTCATTCATGTCAGTCAATATCAAGATTTAATCCTTTGAGCGACACCCCCCCCCCCCCGACAGAAAATGTTTTATTAAAAATAAAAATCAGAGAAAAAAAAGATTATAGCTAATGCTGTTAAAAAAAAAATATTACAAAATTCAACAGAAAAAATATATGCAAATATGTGTATATTCACATGTGATACATGTGATTTTGTTCTCAATATTTTATTCATGTATGCCTAATGATGATTTTATTAATCATCTTTTTTCTAAAAAATGTTTTCCATTGCTGGGAACAGAAGAAAGAAACTCATCTTATTTTAAAATATCGATTAGATTAAACAAGACCGAAACATATCAATAATATTTGGCCTGTGTAACTTCTTTTTATGTGTTTTTTTTAGCAGGCCATATTGAACGGGAAAACGAGAATCCATCAAGAATTTTTTGGAGGCAGAATCACTGAATAAAACCTATCACAAATACCTAGAGCCGATACTATGCTTTACAAGTATTCCATATCAGTTGAAGGTGGATAGTACAATTCTTTACCCAAACTTGTCAGAGATTTGGAGTCATTGTCTAATTTTAGAAGTTTGTGAAAGAAATTTGTTTTCATGATTTTGTCAGAAAAAGTAATTTAAAAAAAAAAAAATTGTAATCTTTTGGTGTATATAGCCATGTATCGGTTTGGTTCTTTTAATGGAATGTAATACTTTTCATATACTCAACCTTCTTGAAAAAGAGGTATTTTAATTTATATAAAGATTAAATCAAGTTAAGGTAGCGGGACTATTATTTGCATACTTGTTTTCATCTTCTAATTGTGACCAAATGACTACAAATAGACCCAGGAAAGTATATATTTTTAGAATCGCCAGACTTCAAGCTTTTCAAAGGTGTGTTTGCCATGCCCTTATCTGCATTCTACGGTGCGTTACTCAATCAAAAGTGAAAATACTTTTTTTGTAAAAAAAATAATTACGCATTTATGCTGGTGATAAGAAGTTTTTTTTTCACTTTTTCTAGTTGTTCAATAGTCTGGTAAATTGAATGTGTCTGGTCAGTTTTATTCAAGCAGCGCGTTTTGAAAAGTAGTGTCCTGAATTTTAATTTCTGTTTTAGTCGCATTGCCCCCAACTCAAACCACAACACATTGGTAAATAATCCATGAAATAGTTTGTCTGGACACATTCAAGTTCCTCTCATTGTCACCTTAAAGCTGTGAAAATT